AAGTAGTTTCGCTTTCACAATGAATCACACAGCGCCTTCACGACATGGCGGCAGCGGCAACAATACTACAGCGAGAATAAAAGTTACGCCTTCTTTCTTTGCGTGAACATTTGGGTGGCGTTATGCAAAACTTAGCGTGTTAGAATGAGCCGTTTTAGGTAGGTAACTATACCCTGATCAGGATTAAGCATTTGTGTACGTGCAGCCCTGTCATTGCAATGTCTTTGTCTTTTGTTACTGACGTTTTGTTATGTTTAAGTGCCTGTTGCTTAGCTGAGTTGCTGTGGGATGCCCTATCATGTTGCAAAGACCTTTGGGTTTTCGATGAAAACCAAACAGAACACCTTTGTAGTTTTGTTTTTGGGATACAAAGAAACACTGTTGTGCTTTTGCAACCTGGAGACTGTTGAACCTGTGGTGCTCTTTTCTACCCCTTTTGACTTTTACAAATGCTGGATCACTGTCACTACCAAAGATCCAAGATAATGGACACTGTAAATAAAATTATTACATTAAAGATTTGTTTCAGCCTAAATTCGGTTAACTAATACTCATGATGTTTTACTTTAAAGTACATTTTAAATCATTATGTTTTTAAATTTTGTAGTGTACTTCAAATCTTAATCTATAAGATATATTTTTTAAAAACAGTACTTGCAGATAATATTAATCAAATAAATGGCCACATCAGTGTACTTAAAAAGGGTTCTCTTTCATGACTGAACACACTTCATAATAATTACAATTAAAAGTTTTTCTTCAAAGTACATTTTAAATCATGCTTTAATAACATGATATGTAAAGTAGTTGATTATAATTTATAAAATAACTGTAGTGTTATTTGATATTACATTTAAAGTTAATATATTTTAAATGTACTAAACTGCAACTTCATTTAAATGATACAGTTGCAAACAGTTGCTTGCCCCCATTGACTTCCATAGTATGAAACCAAAAATACTAGGGAAGTCAATGGGGATCAGAAAATGTCTGGTTACACACATTCTTTGAAATATCTTCTTTTATGTTAAACTCAGGTTTGGAACAACTTGAGGTTGAGTAAATGATGACAGAATATTAATTTTTGGGTGAACTATCCTTAAGTCCTACTTAAGTTGGTCAAAAAGCATTTCATGTAAATTTAAACCTTAATATATTTTCAAAAGATTGCTTCTATATACATACGGGTTTTAAAAGAAGGTCACTGTATATGTACAAGATGACCCATGTTTGCCAAATGTTCAAGACATCTGCTTGGTTAGATGCCATCTAAAAAGCAGCATCTTTAAGCAGTGAGATGGCTAAATGGAGTTTCCATTAGTGAACTCAAAGGGCACAGCATTTAATTGCATGCAGTTACTGCTACAGCATATTGATGTGCGCTTCATAAAACCTTAGTTAAATGGGCTATCGGCTAGATGCCTCATGGGAATCATATCAGATAACAGACATGATACCTGATATGCTTATGCAGCTTAAACACACTCCTCTCTTTCTCTATTTATACATTAAAATAACTGTATATGACCACTTCAGGGCTATTTCTTGTTGTTTGTACTTGCTGTGTAGAATGAATGACAAAGTATTTTCATAGATACTATTGCCATAATGTTTGTTGGATTCCACTGCCTTTTTCTTTGTGTGATTTTGTCATTTGAATCTAGTAGCTTTTTTTTCAGGGGCACTGCACTGCAGGCAAATAAAACCCCTCAGGTCAGCATAACAGACTGGGAGTTTTTGGGTCCTGTAGCTGTAGACCCAAGGAGAGAGAGAGAATGAGTGTGCAAATCAGGATTTTACAGTCTTGCTATGCTTATTCCTGGTTATATAAAATAATAAGCCTAATTATTAACTGACATACTTGACTGTTTGTTTTTTATTAAAAAAAGTTATTAACTTTTCCATTTGGATAATGATATAGGGTGAGACGTAATAGCAAAAATCTAAAACATTGTCACACATGCTCACTGATGTTACGTAAAATGTCATTTATTCTCAGCTCTTATCTCATTTCTGCATATTAATTGAAAGTCAATTATTTTCAATACACTACATGTAACTGCACTGCTAGCGAGAGTATGTGATATAACATTAGATGTGGGAACTTCGGGGATTTGGGGCATAGGCAAGCAAGCCCAGGTCTTTTCTAAAAGGAAATGAATCCAAAATCACAGTCTGTGGTAGTTACCCAAATTAACCTGAGGGGTCCCTTGGTTTTTTTTTTTTTGTGTGAAAGACCAGTACTGCCCCCTTTAGGTTATTGTAACTAATTGCAGCATACTATTTTTACAGTTATTTTATTGGTAAAGCAAAATGAAAAATTGACATATATCTGTATTTTTTTCCAGGACAACAGGTGGCAGTGTTCCGTGGGCAGGATGGCAAGGCCTACGTGGTGGATGCTTACTGCCCCCACTTAGGCGCCAACCTGGCTGTGGGTGGGCGAGTCGTAGGGGGATGCATTGAATGCCCCTTCCATGGGTGGCAGTTCCGTGGGACTGATGGGAAATGTGTCAGGATTCCATATGCAGATAAAGGTTAGAGATCAGAGAAAAAATTTAGACATTTTCCTTCTAACAATATGTATGTACTGGCGTATTTGCTGTATTTGTTGCATACAACTTATGTATACGTTGCTTATGTATATGTGTATAAATGCAAATTATATGTATAAAATATTCAGAGTACTCAATAGACATAAACTACAGTTCAAAAGTTTAGTGTCGGAAAGATTTTAATGATTTTTAATGGGTGCATTAATTTCGATTAAAAATGTATAAAAAATACTGAAAAAAATGCAATTTTGTGAAAATATCATTACTGTTTAAAATAACTGTTTTCCGTTTTAATATATTTTAAAATGTAATTCATTCCTATGATGATAAAGCTGAATTTTCAGCATCATTACTCCAGTCTTCAGTGTCACATGATCCTTCAGAAATCATTCTAATAAGCTGATTTGCCGATCATGAAACATTTTTTTATTATTATCAAGTTGTGCTGCTTAATAGTTTGTGGAAACTGAGATACATTTTGTTCAGTATTCTTTGATGAATAGAACGTTCCAAAGAAAAGCATTTATGTGAAATACAAATCTTTTGTAATATTATAAATGACTTTACTGTCACTTTTGATCAGTTTAATGCATCCTTGCTGAATAAAAGTTTTAATTTCTTTATACTGACTCCAAACTTTTAATAAGTGGTGTATATGTCATTTTTTGGGATGTTTTTAGTGCCTGAGTTTGCGAAGGTGCGGTGTTGGCCCAGCTGTGAGATCAACGGGCAGGTTCTGGTGTGGTTTCACTGTGACGGACTGGAGCCCAGCTGGAGAGTGCCAGAACAGAGCGAGATTACCCGCGGGGAATGGGTGTACCGCGGCCGTACCGAACATTTCATTAATGCACACATTGAGGTCAGACAGCATATATGTACCTCAGCTCATATTTGACCCTGGACCACAAAACCAGTCAGAAAGGTCAATTTTTCGAAATTGAGATTTATACATCACCTGAAAGCTGAATAAATAAGCTTTCCATTGATGTATGGTTTGTTAGGATAGGACAATATTTGGTCGAGAGACAACTATTTGAAAATCTGGAATCTGAGGGTGCAAAAAAATCAAAATATTGAGAAAATCGCCTTTAAAGTTGTCCAAATGAAGTTCTTAGCAATGCATATTACTAATCAAAAATTAAGTTTGAATATATTTACAGTAGGAAATTTACAAAATATCTCCATGGAACATGATCTTTACTTAATATCCTAATGATTTTTGATATAAAAGAAAAATCAATAATTTTGACCCATACAATGTATTTTTGGCTATTGTTACAAATATACCCCAGCGACTTAAGACTGCTTTTGTGCTCCAGGGTCACAAATGTGAGCGATATATTTTATATTTCTCAGTGAATATGATGTTTGTATCTAGCAGTCTTCAATTCACACATTCTGTTCTGATTTTTCTCAGGAGATTCCAGAGAACGCAGCAGACATTGCACACTTGGCTCATTTGCACACTCCAGGTATCGTCAGTGGAGTTGATCTACGCTATACGAACAGCAAGACCTGGGAGTTTATACGGCATGACTGGAAGGTTTGATTCCTCACACAGACATTCATCCCAAGGAGAAATGTCAACAGCAGTGTTAAGTTTTAGTCTCATTGACATACTAATATAGTTTTTGTTTATATTTTTATATTAGATTATATTTTATATATTGTACATTTTATTATATTTCTCAGTGAATATGATGTTTGTATCTAGCAGTCTTCAATTCACACATTCTGTTCTGTTTTTTCTCAGGAGATTCCAGAGAACGCAGCAGACATTGCACACTTGGCTCATTTGCACACTCCAGGTATCGTCAGTGGAGTTGATCTACGCTATACGAACAGCAAGACCTGGGAGTTTATACGGCATGACTGGAAGGTTTGATTCCTCACACAGACATTCATCCCAAGGAGAAATGTCCACAGCAGTGTTAAGTTTTAGTCTCATTGACATACTAATATAGTTTTTGTTTATATTTTTATATTAGATTATATTTTATATATTGTACATTTTAATTTTAGTTCAAATTTTAGGAATTGTGTTATGGTTATCTTTTTTTTAACTTTCTATATAGATATAATAAATTAGATTTTTTTTTGTTTGTACTTTCTATGCTATGTTTACATTGAGTCATAATTACCGTAATTGACCACTTTTATTATACTCTGAACTGTTTACACTCACGGACTCATGGAAAATTATTATTTTTATGGAAAAACTCAGAACACAGAAATCCAGTTAAGCCCTCATGAAATGTCTCGTTAACAAAAAACTCATGCACGAAAATGAGAAATGTTGCCTTGGCAACTACCTGAAATAAAATAGACTAAATGGGGGGGGGGGAGTTCAGTTGACGTTAATTTTGTTTCAAGTAACGAACATGTGTTTTTTATGGTTTTAATTTTAGTTTCAGTTAATGATAATAATCCTGGTCAACAGATTTTATGTCTTTATGTCACAGAAAACTAGGATACATGGTAGAATAAAATGGACAACACTATCATAAAACAATATAGCCGTATCTACTGTAAAAACATATCACTTCCTTGTGTGACTGTCTATGTGTGTTGAATTGGTACTTGGTTAAAGGAGCCTTATAACTACACTTTTGTTGCATTTTAGTTATATAATTCCATTTATATTGTTATTCAAGATTTTATCAATAACTGTCTAAATTTACTTAAAAAAAATATATGAATATATAAATTACTTTTGTTATGATTTGCTTACCTTTTGCATGTGAAATAAGCAAATGTCTGTGTGGACTTAAGCATTTTTATTTTTCCAGGTGGAGTGGAAGCCTGAGCCTGAGCCAGACAAGCACTGCTCGCAGATGTTGGTGAAACACGCTCTCACCGTGTTCGGACGCCACTGGCCTCTTCTTGATTTGGACGTCGTGGCCAGACAGGTAATGACTGGTCCCTGAGCTAGAGGGCGCGTGTGAGCCATGCAGACTGAGAGAAACGCATGGAGCCTGACTGTGATTAGCAGAATGGAAATCAAGTCATGATGAATGATCTCTTGCACACAACAGTGGTATCTTGATCTCTGTGTTCTGATGGTTGTTCGCTGTATTTTAAGCAGTTAGTCGAGTGCATACAGAGCATGCTTTTATGTAAATTAAATGTGTGTGTGTGTGCGCGCGCACGCACGAGTGTGTTGGATGCTGTAGGATGTGTCAGATTTACAAATGAGATGCTTTTCTTGTATGGTGAAGTATGACTGCAGTTTCTTTGCTTCAGGAATCAAATATTATGGGTAATTTATTTATATTCTGTGCTACAAAAAATATTTAGCTTTTCACAATTTTTTAATGAATTCATAAAAAAGGGCAACACTTTAAAATGAGGTTCAATTGTTTTTTCTTATTTGTAATGAATTCCTATCTAATGTATAATCAAAATGTATTTATGAATTTATTATTTATTTTAATTTATGATTATAAATATGCTATTTTTAATTGTTAATATTTGTTTGCTTATATCATATTAACTAATGGAAATTTATATGACCTGAAATATTAAAAATGTATTTTTAATATATTTAAAATGTATTAATAAATAAATGTATTTTTAGTATATGTAAAAATGTACATTTTTATTCTTATTGTTTATTTGGTGCATTAACTAATGTTAACATATAGAGCCCTATAATGAAATGTAGCCAGCTTTTCGTGTCTATGTAGCAGTCCAAGTCTCAATGTCATAATTTTCCCTCATGGTCAGTTGTGCAACATTTTTCTTTTTGTGTTGTCTGAAAAGGAACTGCCTTGTCGCCATAGTGACGGCGAATAATCCTGACAGTATGTGTGAAAACAGTTGTAATTCAAGGCTGTGCTTGGATCTTCACTTGAAGTTGAAGTTAAAAAGTGTCTGTATATTTGAGAGTGGAAAGTGCTGTTGGCATGAGAGGCAGAATCTGAATTAGAGAAGGTTTTGTTATGATTTTTGTGAAATAATCTATTTTATTTGGTCTCACACAGTATAATGCAGCATAAATTACATTGATTTTACACGCTGATGATATGAACTATATATTGCATGTTTGCAGGTGGGTCCAGGTGTGGTTTTCCTGCTTTTTGAACACAGTTTTCTGGGTCGGGGTGTGATCATGCACTGTGTTACCCCAGTCGAGCCATTACTGCAGTGTGTATCACACACCATCTTCTACCAGAGCACCATCCCTCCCCTGGTACCCAAATTCATTCTTCGGGCAGAGTGCATTCAGGTAACGCATAAGTGAGGAATCAACAAAGCAGATTTGACATTTCAAATTTTACATTAATTGATAACTTTGTTACATGTTGCATCTATACACTACTGCTAAAAGTAGTCCTTTATGCTCATCAAGGCTGCATTTATTTGATAAAAAATACAGTAAAACCAGTAATTTTGTGAAATATTGTTACAATTTAAAATGACTTTTCTATTTGACTGTATTTTAAAATGTAATGTATTCCTGTGATGACAAAGCTGAATTTTCAGCATCATTACTCCAGTCTTCAGTGTCACATGATCCTTCAGAAATCATTCTAATATGCTGATTTGCTGCTCAAGAAACATTTTTATTGTCTTATTATCAATGTTGAAACATTTGTGAAAACCATGATATGATATGTCTTTGATGAATAGAAACTATATATATATATATATATATATATATATATATATACAGTGGGGCAAAAAAGTATTTAGACAGCCACCAATTGTGCAAGTTCTCCCACTTAAAAAGATGAGAGAGGCCTGTAATTTTCATCATAGGTATACCTCAACTATGAGAGACAAAATTAGAAAAAAAA